AAAAATATCTAGTATCAATAACCCACCTACTTTCCATCCTGACGAAAATGATGATTAAGTTGGAAGAATGATGTCAACATCTGGAAAATTTACACTGATACTTCAGAAGGCAAGCTTGGAACTTCGGTATATTTCTCATTAAAAGGAAAAGCGAGAGAGGTTGTGTGAAAGTTAAAACCAGAAAACATTGCAAGGGCTGCTCATTATAAATTGATTATAGACAAATTGGATAGAGGATATTTACAAGATGAAGACACATTAAATATTGTGCATTTAAGGGTTTTTATGAATATAAATGGAGTGCAGGTCAGAATTTTTAAACTTTATAATCGAACATGAGCAGAGATAGGAGAAAATCAAAAGGCATGAAATGGAGCTTCCTGAAGGTGTTAGAGGCTTCTTTTTGCTTAAAGCTGCCAATCTTACTGATGAATCTGAAAAATTAACCAGCACAACAGCAAATCTCACCTATAAAGACATGCAAGATAAAGTAATAAAAATAACTGGTGACCCTGAAGTGTTAACTGAGAAGGATAGTTTACCTGAAGTCAAGGAAGAGGTATGGCCATGGTTTCAGCAAAAGAGGAAGCAACAGGAGAGATAATGGGAGATGAAGAAGACAATATTTGTCAGGCAGATATGGTCAAGAAATACACAAATGGTATCGGGTTTATTCTGCTGGAAAAACATTAATGAGATGTTATTGTTGTCAATCAATTCAACATCTTATCAAAGATTGCTCTTATAAACAAAACTCTGAGGAAGTTTACATGAAGTTCTAAGTTGAACTCATTTCGATTTAAACTGATTCTTAAGAATTTGGGTAAAAGCCTATTAGATAGTGGTTGCTCAAAAACAGTTGCTGGCACAGTATGGATTAATGAATCTTTGAAAACACTGTCCTCAAATGACTTAAAGGAAATGAAATTCCCAGTCAATCAGTATTTAGATTTAGTTATGATTTTGAAGCCATAAGTTTAAAATGTATTCCTCTGCCATTGTTGATAGGAGTAGAAAAAAATATTGATGGATGTTGAGGTGGTAAAAAGTGAAATACTTTTGATGATAAGCAAAGGTGCCATGAAAGAGACGGGAATTTTCTTAGATTTTGCAAAAGTGATGGTGACTCTAAATGGACCTGACATTAATTTACAATGTACATCAATGGAACCATACTGTGTTCCTGTAGCTAAAACCTCTTTAGAGTCACCAAAAGTAAATATAGTACAACACCTTTCTCTGATTGGTTTCAGCATTGAAAAAAGAAATAAAAATCTGTTAAACTGCACATGTAGTTTTCACACGTCAAGAAAGCAGGATTTTAAAACTCCTTGAGGATAATGGCTGCCAAAATAAAGAATTTGGACAAACTGTTGAAGATGTGTGTGATGAGTATATATGAGTATAGAAAGGTTCCACTTAGACCAATTATCAGCTTACCTCTAGCATAAAGTTTCAATGTGTGTGTGTGTGTATGGACTTGAAAGAAATTCAATATGGAAAAGTGTGGATACTTCACTTAATTGGTGCTGCAACTAGGTATTTCTCTGCTTGTATTATAAATTCAAAGAGCAAAGAAGTGGTAGTTAGCCAAATATTTAGAATCTGAATAGCCTAATTTGGAGCCTCACAAAAATTCTTCATTGACAATGGTGGTGAATTTTAAAATCATGTTATGAGATAATTGAAGAAAAAACTTGGAGTGGAAATGGTAACTACAGCAGCGGAATCATCTTTCAGTAATATGATCATAGAATGCCACAATGCTATTCTGTATGAAACAACTGAAGATGTTAAGTGTGAGCCTGGTTTGGTTTTGGCATGGTCAGGAAATTCCAAAAATGCATTACAAAATCAGGCGGTTATTCATCAAAACATTAATGTCCTGAGGCCAATGTACTGATGATAAGGCTTATGCCAATGATATAGGTACTCATTTTGGGGATAAGTATAATCTTGGAAAAAAAAAATATCAATAACCTCTAGCATGTGTTTCAAGAAATAAGACTCAAGATAAACCTTTTCAAAAGAGAAACTTTGAGCTGGAATTGGAATGAAAGCAGTGATGGCACGGCACCTACCCTGAATCTATTATAAAAAAAAAAATCAGGATATAAAATTAGTAAATACTAAACACTTTAAACACCTCAGTGTATAGAACAGTTGTAACACATTTAGTATAAGAGATAAGCAAATTGAAAATAGAATAGTCTACACTAGGGGGAGTTTTACCCAACGAATCAGTACATTGGCCTCTGGAGGGAAAGCAAGATTGGTCATTTTTATTGGTAGATTCATTTGGAATGTCGTATCAAATTCATAAATAAGTATTTGGCAATGTCTTCTGTTCGGCTTGAAGACAGTCGTATCTCTGCTTTGGGAAGTTGAAATCTGTGGAATTTTATAAGAAACTTTTCCTGAAAATAAGCCTGAGAAAAATAGGATTTTAATTTTCTCTGATTTGTCAAATATTTTCCATGGTGATAATTTCTAACCAATGGACACTTTAATTTAAATAGTAGAAACTCTTTGGCATTTTTGTAAATATTTAATGTTACTCGGTACAAAATAGTTTGGGTGTGTTTTAATATGGTATGTATGTGGATATTTAATTGTGTTGGAAATAGCATTTCTTTCCTATAGTTTCTGTTATTTAGTACAGTTTAAGATTCTGTAACACCAGTCCATGAGGTTTGAAGAAGGATTTTTCTCATTTAGACCTACATACTTCATTTGCTCAAAGGCATTTTAAGCACTGATCTGAGAAAGCGTTTGTATACAGCTGACAGTTTAGACATTTTTGAATGCATTTGAATGGCATCCATAGCCTTGTCAGATTGAGACTTTCCTATTTCCAAACATGACTCAATATTTTAAGTTAATGTTTAGGTTTTAGCAATTTGTAGTGTTGGATGAAACTACCTCTAGTGCAGCCTATTCTATGTTCAGTTTCTTTATCTCTTATACTAAATGTGTTATAACTGATCCATACATTGAGGTATTTAAAGTGTATAGTATTTTATATTCTGATTTTTTTTTTTTTTTTTTTTATAATGGATTCAAGGTAGTTTCCATCACTGCTTTCATTCCAATTCCAGATCATAGTTTCTCATTTGGAAAGGTTTATCTTGAGTCCTATTTCAGTCTTTAGGAACTGAGATATCTTGCTGATATAACATTATACAAAAATATCTCCATAAAAACAGTAAAATATTAAATAGGCCAAAGTACAGTCAATTTTGTTTTCGTGGAAAAACAGAATGTCATATAAAAACGGCTTGAGGATTAATAAAATAAAGACATTGCAAAAAGATGGCAAGGAAAATGATTTGCTGAAATGTTAGTGAATTCTTCTTCTATGTACTATGCCTCTTCAGGACATTGGCAATTATGGCTCTCCACAAGTTCCTATCCTTTATATCTCTTACTAAGATTTATCTTTTTGCTATCTCTCCCAATCCTTGTTCTACCATCTTTATACAATCTTGTTAGCTAGTTTACTCCTGTATTTCTTGACTTCAGTTTGTCCTGTGAGTGTCAAATTCTTCAAGCCTCTTTTCCCCTTTATGCACCATAGAAATTTCAACTATCTTTTTCCAAATCTAAGCGTCCTTTTTATTTTTTATTTATTTATTCTTTTTTTTTACATTATTTACATGCAGACTATTGTCCTCATCTTTGTTGTCATTATCACAACATTTTGGCTGTGGCACCTTCTGGTCTTCATCAGATGTATATCAACCTACAGGGAATTCTGAACTGAACCCTTTATTTAATCTACAGGGGTTGACTGTTCTCATTCCATTCCATACTTCATCAGGTGTATATTGATTTGGGTAACCTATAGGGAATTCTGAACTGAACACTTTATTTAATCTATAGGGGTAGACTGTTCTCATTCCACTGTTTAGGGATATCTCCTCTAGTTCTTATTTTTAGTACTGCACAGATTCCACTGAGTCCAAGTACACACTGTCCAGCCCTGGGATTGAACTCATAATTACTATGTCAGCAACACTTTAATCCACTATTTGTCTAGATGTGGGCAATAGAACAAGAAAATTGTACCTTCATAGATTAAATAAAAGGTATGGTTCAGAATTCCCTGTAGGTTAAACAGATCAATATACACCTGATGAAGGACCAACCATTGAAACGTGATAACAACAACAAAGATGAGGACAACAGTTTGCATGCAAATAGTGTAAATAATGATAATTCCTCATTCCAGAAATTCAGACAGCATCCTTTTGTAGATTCATGTTTCCATTGCCACAATTCTTCATCATTCAACCATGACAATGCATAATGTTAAGGAATTAAAAAAAACTTTTACAAGAGAGAACACAAAAAATTGGTATCACAATTCTATCAGTTACATAGTTTAATATCCTAATCCATGCAATTTTTATCATTAATTTTAGTAGTTGCATTTTTTTGTTTTTTTTTTTTTGTCCTTACCCAGATTTGTTTTTTTATCTGGTGGTGATATTGTCTTTTACAAATATTTGTAGTTTCCAGTAGCAAAATCTGGCAGCAAGGGTCAGGTGGGGAGTGTTTTTGCAGTTATTCCTATGAACTGGAAATAAGTTCAAATTCTATCAGTAATTCTTGCATTATTTCTTGGCCACTAACAATCCCTTTCTATATGATTTACAATACATGCCACAGATTGCTGAAAGTTGATTGAATAAATTTTAGCTAAAATTTGCCCAATTCAATCAAGACCAAAATTTACTAACAATTCTTGTGAGAAAGACAGGAAATAAAATCTACTGACAATCATTAAAGAGAATATAATTTGTGACACATTGGTTGAGCAAATCATTCTTGCAATATCACAGGTTATATAAACAAGTAATTAATATTAAAGAAAAAATATCATTTTCCAATTTTATTCAATAATTCTCTGCAAATTTTTATGTGCAAATTGTGTTTATTTAAATGAAATCTACATCTTCAGTTTGATTTGATTTATCCAATGAATTTAACATGTTGACCTTGGGATAACAAGGCACCATCTTGATTGGTAATGTCCACATTGAGAAAGGCCAAAGTTTTTCCAACTTTGACGAGTTTAGCTTCAATATTAACATCTTCTCCAACTTTGGCGGCCTTCATATACCTGTTGAAAAACAAAAGAAAGAAAATAAGACAATTTTTTTTTTTAATTATTTTACCCCAAGCAAGGCAGGAATGCCATTAGTACACAGGGGGGTACAGGAAGTAAAAGAGAAGACTGAGTTCAGGGAGGATTGGGGAAAGGATAAAAGATAAACAGGATTAAAAAAAGACAGTATAGCGATTGACGTTTTATTTAAATTTTTGAAGATTGTAGTTATCAGTGAAGCAAGTAAATGGAAAGGAGTTCCACAGGTGGGAAGTGTGAGAAAAACTGTTGGAGTAGAAGTGATGGTTACATTTAGCTATTTCAACAGTAAAAGTACCTATCTGCCAATTTAGTAGCACACTTAAATTCATGTTGTCAGGGCACTAGGGATAAAAGCTTGTCAGGGCAGTTGCCATGAAAATATTTTTAGAAACAATAGAGGGAAACCCTGCCACATTGGTGAGAAAATGACTGAAGTCAAGATGCTTGGTTAGGAACGATTACATTACAGATCATTCTTTGGATGTTGTCAAGAATCTCAAGATGTACAGCAGGAGTACCAGACCAGATATGGTAATGGTATTCAACTCATGGACAAATGGTAGATGTATTCTGACAAGAAAGATTTTCTGGCATAACACAGTGACCCAACTTTCCTTGCAATAGATGCAGCTATTGATTTGATGTAGTTATTCTACTTCAAGTTAGTAGAAACAATGAGACCAAGAAAACATACAAATAGACAAAAATAGAGGAAACTAAAAAGATTTAAAAAGCCATTTTTTTTTCTTCAACCAAAACTGAATTCATAATTTTCCAGATGACCATCATTATTATACAATGTGTTTGGTCAGCCGCACAGCTGAGGAGGATAGATTTTCTGCCATTCATGTCCAAGCTCAAGTAAAAGCAAAGGTTTTGAATGCTGATTTTCATGGTAAGCATACAAGCTCTCACTACTTGAAAGATTACACAGTTTCTTACCTTTACATTCCCCTTGTGCCAGACATGTGCCTCATACTAATGTACATGCTAAGCTTAATTATCTGACATTTTTAGCTTGTAATAAAAAGCTAATCTTGCAGACCAAGACTAGAGAGTCTAATCATTGATGGATGCTCTTCACTAATGGCCTTGTGCCAGACTAACATTATTGATGCAGTATGTTTCTTGGATATTAAAATTCAACTATCATTTGTGAAAATCACTTGAGTTAATTTTATAGCTTTGGAAATTTATCACAGAAGAAATGATTTACAGAATGAAATCTTATTTGCTTGGCCTCATATTATGAAAGAGATTTTGAAACTAACTTCATCTCACTTGACCCTATCTAGTCAAAAATTACTTGAATATTAATATCAATTATAGTAATATTTAAGAAATTTTGAATGGAAGATTTTCTTCATTTGTGCATCTTGTCCTTTCAAGATGTGCGTAATCATAATTCTCCACAACCTTTTATCCCCTTGCCAAACCTTCCACTCCATTCCACCATCCATTATTTATACAAGCTCATCAGGTAAGTGGCCCATCACCTTCCCCTGTACCTCTAGCCCTCGATAGACCTTGGGAGTATCATCTTCTCCAAACCTCATTTATTATATGTCCAAAAACTTTCAGTTTCTCTTTCTGATTCTGAATAGAAGTGTCTTTTTTCGTTTCTATTTTCCTTTAGACTTCTAACACACTTCATCCATGGAATTCTCAGAATCCTTCTGTAGAATAACATTTCTGCTGTGAACTACCATATAAGAGGATGGATATCACATAGAAATCCAGAACACTTCTTTGTTTCTACTGAAATTTTCCTGTTTCATAGAACTTTGCTTAACTTTTGAAAGTATGTTGTAATAAAAAAAAAAAAATCTGGAATTAACACCGCAATCAGGTACTTCTGTCTCTCTTGTCCATGACACTTGTAGCCAAGTTAACTCAGCTGTTTGGGTATCAACCAAAGGAGTTTTTAGAACTAAAAAAGAATCCATGTGCCAACACAAAGTTCAAGCAAGTAGAACAGTCAGAAGTCCAAAATTCTCTTCGCAACAACAGAAACGCACTTTCGCTCATTAAGCTCAAAAATCATTCACCCAGTAAGCAAAAAACAGCAGCCTTTATTTACTGAGCGAATTTTTTTATTTTTATTTTTTTCCTGATTGGCTACACCATTCAGGGAGAAAAGAAAATTAGCTTCACTGATACTTAAAGTAGCAGATTTTTTTCTAAACTAATTTTTTCTTTAATTCTCCTTCGGCAGATCATGCACAACACATGGTTCTATCTTTGGACCTACCTTGTTTCTCATCTTCATCAACAACCTTTCCGATGTCATCAGTTTCCAACTATGTATTTATGCAGATAACAAAAACTATTTAATCCTGTCTTAGTAGCAAGTTTGACAAAGTAAAACTGGCAACTGCTCTCCAAAAAGACCTCCAATCATTTGTTAACTGCAGGTAAAGAAATAGCTTGTAAATTGTAACACCTCCAAACCAAAACTGCTTATAGAGAACTCTTTTCTGCCTGACATCAACTTGGCTGATGCTAACCTCCAGGAGATCAACTCTTTGTCGTCGGCTTTGGCTCACATTTTCCACTGATATGAAGGAGAGTGATGATATTGAATCAAATGCTAGGGATACTGCTAGGAAAGTTGGTTCACTGTATCATTTCTTTCTTGCTAGAATCCATATTGTACATTTATAAATCTACTATTCGTCTATACATTAAATATTGCCACCACATCTGGTCTGGTGCTTCTGCTATATATTTATATATGCAATATCATTGGTCCTGACCTAGCATTTTGGCTTCATTCACTTTCTCACCACCGCAATATAGCTTCCCTGAGCCTTTTCTATAAAAACCTTCATGGTAGTTGTTTGGAGAAACTTTCTGTTATGGTACCTAGACATTATGAGTTTAAGGGAAGTAATAGAGTTCTTGCAAGGCCTCATCATTTTACAGTTGAAATGACGAAATGCAAGTTCTATGCTAACAGTTTCTTTTCTCACCTGTGGCACTCTCTTCCGACTTCTTGCTTTCCAGTCAAATTTGATCTTCAAAAATTTAAATACAATGTCAATCATTATCTACTGTCTTCTAAAATTCCCCTTCTTTTATTATTCTCACTCCTTAATAACATTTCTCTATTTTCTTATTTTCTAATACTCAGGAACCCTTGCATCTTAGTGGCTTTATTGTCATGCTTGGGGCGAAATGATTAAAAAAATTTTTTTGTTTTTTTCTGCAGTGGGTGGGACTTTCTTATGTTATAACACAATCCTTTCTTGTGATTATTTAAAAATCCTTTCACTTACGAAATATTCATGCTGACACTGACTCCCGATTTTTGATGGGGTGAGGACATCAGGGCCCAAGTGGACACAGCATCAACAAGAGAAGCTGTTACTCCGCCATGTAAAGTACCATTTCGATTCTGAAATTCTTCTGTGACTTTCAATTGACAAATATACGGCTCACCATTTCCTCCTGAAATTACTCGAATCTGAAGAATTAAATTAAAACCTAATTTGAGTTATTTTTCAGGAAATTTACAAATCAATGTTTTTAATGTAAAAAAAAAAAAAAAAAAATACTCAAATTGAGCATGCAAATTTACAATCCCATGTTGATAACAGAAAAATGATTTTTAACAAAAATTTTTACTGTTGTAAAAAAAGATAAAAAAAAATTAATTTTTACACCAAGAAATCATTTGATTTTTCCTTTTAATGGCACAAACATTTTGACGCTAAAATTTTGTTTTTATTATGCTTTGTGAATTGTTTAAATCATATGTCCTCTTTTTTAGTGAATTTTTGGATGTACTTAAATAAAATGATGAAAGTGATAGAGAAAAGAATGGAAGCATTTAGTGAAAATATAAATGAAAAATTATAGAATTTTTGTATTTCTTTAAAGCATTGTTCTGTGTGTGTGTTCTGTAAAATCCCATGTAATAGAAAATGGCCAGGGATCATGTGAAAAACAAATTTCATTGGTTAATTAGTTAAAGAATTATTTTTAAGAAAATAAAATTCAAAGACTGTTAGTGATTTTCTAAGCCCGGCTTAGACGTGGCACAAGGCCAAAAGTATGGGGCATCCAGTGAGGATCGAACTCACTACTCAGTCGTAATTGATCTAGCAAGACAAGCTTTCTAACCATTACACCATGTCGAGGTGCCTTAATTCAAAGACTGTTAACTTGAAAATTTACCACTAAATTTCAATTTGTATAAAAGATAGAGGAATAAAGAATCATGTCTGAAATTAGACATATCTATTTACTTCACAAATATCATGCTGAAATGCAAATCACCAAAGTTAAGCAATGTCAAGCCTAGTCAGTAGGGTGACTACTTGGGAATGGCAAGTGTTATAAGCTTGGATGTGTGGGTGGTATAATGGAAGACTGTTTTGAATGAGAAACTGAAGAGCTGAGTTCAAATTCTAGTCATGTTTTTACATTCACTTGTGTGTAAATATCCTCAGGCAATCATGAATCAAAAGCAGACATGATCACCCAAGTCTGTAATATCTACCCCTTTGATCCTGCATTTGGCCAGTGCATTAGGGTAGTGGCCCATTCCTCCCCATGAAGATGGGGAGAACCTATGTCAACAAAGGACGTTTACAGACTAAGAACTATTTGGAAATGGTTTAATTTTTAATTAATTTTTTTTACTGAATTTTTAATAAATCTACTGGATAAGACAATAAACTACATTTGACAGCAAGGCCTCTGATCAGGATGTTTTGAGAAGTGTAGAATCACCTCTTAAGTGCTGGTGTTCCAGGTCCACTCTGATCTGGGGTTGTAGCACCTGTTAGGGTCCCAGCTATAGACATCCTATTCAAATGTAATGTCAATCGACATCTCCAGTTGCCTTGATCTATCTGCTACCCTTCTCCTCATCCTTCCTTCTATCACTCCTATCTGATCTTGTTCCAAATTTTCTGTAACCCCTTGCATCCTAGTGGCTTCCCGCCTTGCTTGGGGTGAAATGCTTAAAAAAAAAAAAAAAAATAGTTAACCTCAAACTGGGGTCAAAATGCTATGAAAGTGTAAAAATAGGTTTTAATACCAGCAATACATTTTTGTAAAAACTTATTACCAGCAAAACATTTTTGAAATAAAAATATTACTAGCAATAAAAATCTTGTCAACATTAAATAACTCATTGAGTCTGATATGCTGTAAAATAGACCAAACCATACAAAAAAATTCAAAATTCTCTCAAAAATATTGTTTGATGATTTGTACTAAGCTTTCCCATTTATGATTAGTAAATTTAGTTCATACTTAATGATAATATTGTTGGAGTTAGCTCCTCCTCAGCTCCTTAACCCTTCACCAGGGGTCTCTCTCCTCTGGCTATAAATACTGGCTGACCCTTCGCCTCAATCTTTTTTCCTCAGGCCTTCAGCCTTATACCACCTCGCAGATGTGAGCTTTCACAGATACAGCATTTTTTTTTTACATTCACTTCTCTCTTCTCCCCCCAGCTATGGGTAAATAGGACAGACTGGGTTCAATAGCCTTGGATGGCAACCAGTCTACAAGAAGGAAAACTGAATTTAAAAATGTATGTAGCCTTGGTGAAGCATATACTATGCAGCTAAGGAAAGGATTGTTTGCATTGACTTGATGATCTCTACTATGGTCAATTCTTTTTTTAAAAGATTTATAACTTAATAAATTATTTTAATTAAAATTTAATGAAAACAATTCTTATAAAAATTCATTATTTATTGAAATAATTTTTTTCTTAAGTGTTCTTAATATATTTATAAAAGCAGCTAAAAGCTTTTCCAATTAAATAATGTCCTTTTTTTTTTTTTTTTTTTTTTTGATAAATGGTGTTTCTGTTTTACAAAAAAAAATTGATTTAAATTCTCCAAGGAGTTCTGCTTTTAACTAATATAAATATTAAAGGAATGAAAATTTAATTTCTTGAAATTTCATAAAATTAAGTGGGAGAGTAACAGAAGTTAAAAAAAAATTTTACCAAGATTTAAAAAAAAAAAAAATTCTAAAATAATTAAATTTATTTGTGAATAAGTCCTGAAAGTTTTATTAAAATCCAACAATTATTTGATTTTTGCAAGAATTTGCCAATCAATATTTTTTTTTTTTAACATAAAAGAGATGCTAAAATTTCCTATAGTAATCTTTGCAAATCGATGCAAGAAAAACAAAATTTTTAACCTAAATTTTGAATATTAAAAAGTTTAAGTAATCAAAAAATACTTTGGTTTTTCCTCTTAATAATAGCAAAAAAATTTTGACAAAACTTTGCTTTAATTAAGTTTAAGGCGAATTAGTGGAGTTACCTAAATTTATTTTATTAGGCATACTTATTTACTGAACTTTGAGACGGCCTGTTCTAGTGATAATGGCATTCTGCTGCTTTGTGTGCCTGAGAGAGAAAGTTAGGGTAATGTCCGTAATGAGGAAAGAGAGCTTGGAGAATTTAACACTCACATGATATATCGAATATAAGAGGAGGTTGAAAAACAGTAGAGTGAATGGATGACAGAACAAGAACAAAGAGGGATTGTAAAGTGGAAAGTTACTTAAGTTAGAGCAACAACAAAAATTACGCACGTCCTGAGAGGACATGGAAGTATCAAACCTGAAGGTTAAAGAAAGAGTGCCACTTTATTATAGAAGTAGCGAAACCGATAGTAAAAATTAGAAATTAAATTACGATAAGCCATTTGTAGAAAGTGAAATATATAATTTATTTCACCTTTTATTTTTTGATTTAAAAAAAAAAAAAAAAGAAAAAAAAAAGTAGATTTCATTTCCGTCCAATTTCTCTGTTTTGCTACAATCCATTTTTTTTTTTTTTTTAACCTTAATATTTTTGTCAAATTTATCAAGCAGAGAGAAAAAGGTTAATTTCAAATTTTCATCAAATTCAGCCAGAAGATTTTTTTCTTTTTTCTAAACTCTGCCTTTTTTTTTCCAACGATGATCCAATACTTTCCAAAATTACGTCTTCGTAAAATTTCTCGTTTAAAAAAATAAAATATTTGTTATTCAGGCATTTGTTTAATTTCGTTTTCCAGTAATAAAAACAGAAACTAAATAAAATACTCGGTGAATACAGAATGAATGATAAATACACGCTCGCACGTCAGACGAAAGAGAGAAAAGCAAGGAAGTTTTTAATTGAAATGAAAATTATTATACAGACCTTATTAAATATTTTTTCAAATGTATTTGCTCCAGTACTCGAACTTACGATCTGTTTTAACAGCTGTCCACTACATTTACCAGCCATTCTTATAATTCTTTTCTGATTAAATTTTAACTCAGAACATGTTTGTTCGGGTCATTTTTAAACTGTTACACCGCTTCGACTCTCAAGAAAATAAATGATCAAGGCGCATGCGTAACGTCTCGTACTTTTCGCATTTTTTTTTTTTTTTTTTCGTCAACGACGTTTTGACAAGGAATGGAAACCCCAAAATGTAAAAGATTAATTTAAAAAAGAAAAATGCCAACAATTCTTGTAAAAATTCATTATTTATCGAATTTTTTTTTTCTTCAGGCTATAATGTCCTTAAGCTATATCATTTTATTTTAAAAAAGCAATTAAAAGTTTAACTAATCAAATAATAAGCAGTTTTTATTTTGATTTGGAGATGATTTCAGGAAACTTGCTAAGAGTTTTAAAAAAATGACTATTTACATTCTCCAAGGAGTCCTGCTTTTAACTAATAAAAAACATTTCGTTGATGATTTTAAATTCTAGAAAATTTTAAGAAATTAAGTTGGTGGGTGGGTAACAGATGTAATATATATATATATATATATATATATATATATATATATATATATATACTAAGATATTTATATATAAAATAATTTTCTAAAAATAATAATTTCAAAAATAAATTCATTCATTTGTGAATAAGTCCTGAAAGATTTATTGAGATCCGACAGTTATTTGATTTTTGCAAACATTTCCAAATTAATGTGTTATTTTACTAGAAAACAAGTGTGAAAATGTCTCTTACCAGCCCTGTTACACTGCTGATGCATAAAAAAAAAAAACAATATTTTTAACCAAAATTTTGAGGATATTAGAAAAGAGTTAAAAATAATTAAAAAAAAAAAAAAAAAAAAATACTTTGGTCTTTCGTCTATGAGGGCGGGAGTAATGCCACCAACAAGACAAGTTTATCAATCTGTAAACTAAAGGGTTGATGGTAATGCGATTAACCTGCTACATGTTTTTTAATTTCACAAATGTAACAAAAAGCAAGCAAACAATAAGAGAAATAACGATATTTTGGTTCAGCAATAAATATTTTTATATTTAACCAATAGAAGGTACAAAATTGTATGTTGAGAGTTGTTTAAATTGCTTCAAAGTTTTTTCTCGTGTGGATTGAAGTGTTTATAAAGATGTTATATGAAAAATTAAGAGTTGAGAAATTGTGTGTATAAAAATGGGTAACAGATAAGGTATTCCTGTGTTTGTTGGAAAATTAAACTTTTTGTGATATTGTACTCACTGTACTGTGTATGAAGTTGTCTCTATTTGATTGAATGTGTCACTTGATGTTTTCTGTTGAGTTCATGTACTTCGCAAGCTGTTGAAATGTTAAGTAAATTTAACTTTAAGCCTAGTATGATGTGACATGGATTCATATGTCGTGCTGAGAAAATTTGTAAGTCTCACTGTCAAAGTTGAATGATGTTTTGTATTTATTGATGTTTTAAGTCATGTAGGAGGCTCGAAATTTGGCACAAATTTCTATCTGCTTAGGATACACACTAAACCGATATTATGCATATGTAGTTGAGGACGTATGAAATTATGATTTTTGTTTGTTAGCCAATCAGAAAGTGTTTTTAGTTACTTTTCATCTGGAGCCAATTTTAATGGGTTGTTGGGCTACTTAGTTTGATTTGAGATAAATTTTACTCTGAACCACTTTTAATGGGTTTTAAAAACAAATTTAGAAGTTTGTTTCTATACCTCTTAATAATAACATAAACATTTAGACAACAAAACTTTGTTTTTATTAAGTTTGGGGACTTTTTTCATCATGCTATGCTTTTTTTTTTCCTTTTTTTTTTTTTTTTTGTTAGTGAAAAAGTGGCGGTACCTACATTATAATCATGATTTATTACTATACAAATATTATTTAATTAACTTTATTATTTACATAAGGCTGAATGAGGAGAAATTTGTGTTGTACCAATCAATCGTTATTCTTAGTTCTTGTTCTTTATTGTTCTCACACCTTAGTCCAGTGGTTCCAAAATGGTGCAACAGAAGAGAATAGCAGTGAAGGCGGAATGATTGAAAGACAAAGATTTAGAAACAGTTTCAAAAATTCATATGCCAAAAATAAATGATTTTAAAATTTAAAATATTATTATGGATTACTTGTAATTACATACATGAATCCCAGTATAAATAGTTAAAAATAATTATTGATTGATTTTATAATCATTATATTTTTGCTTTATATTTCTGATTTCTTGATTCCTGTCTATACTCTGTTGGAACATTATTATTATAAATAAATAAAATATAAAATAATATTAATGAAAATTATAAATAAAATAAAACAAAAAGATTGTATAAAATAAAAAAAATTTAAAAATAATAAAAATACTCCTAGCATGCAGCAAAACTGTTCCTGCTGGAAATACGGACATCTCGCCAAAAGACATTAAATTTAGTCTCTTCACCATGAACCTTCAGGCAGGCAACATGTGTAATTTTTTTCTGCAATATGGTGTGTAATAATATGGAGTGACTTCTCCCTTTTATCACATGTACCATAAAACAATTGTAACCTAAAAATACACACAAATACACATAAAAAATATAAATAAATTGTATGAAATTAACATATAATTTACCATGCCTTCCTGTACATTTTATTTCCTGTCAAGTATGCTTTTATCTCCATGAACACGAGGCTAATTTCTGCTGCTATGATGTGAATGACACTAATGTCCATATGCATGGCCTGGGAGTTTATGTCTGCGAACATCTCCCACTGGCTAGGGAACTCTCTCTTGAAGTTCCAGACCATTCTTACATGTGTCTCTCTTTTAAACTCTTTCTCTACCATTCCCCCTCCTCTCATGACTGTTGCATGCTAGATAGTATTTCTGCTAATATAGACAAAGCCATCTCCCGACACCCATTTGCGAATACATTTGTGTTCAGTGATTTTAATGTCCACCTAACCAGGTGGCTTAAGCACTCTGTCACTGACCATGCTGGCATTCAAACCCTGAACTTTTCAAACTCACACATAAGTGGTTAATTTCCCCATGTGTTTCCCCAGTAAGCCTGATGGACATGCTTCTCTTCTAAATCTCTTTTTTTAGCTCTATCCCTGACTCATGTCGTTCTATGCAGCTCTGCTCTCTTCTGATTATACAGTAGTGTCTGTAAACATCTCTTTCCACTTCCCCAATCAGTCAAGGACCTCCTACCAACAGAATATCTTTGTTATCAATAAGCAGATTGGGACTCATTCTGTGATTCCCTTCATATCGTCTCTTGGAATGAAGTTTTTAATCATCCTGTTCAAAAATGTGCATCTAAGGTCTCCTCCTGGGTGAAAGCCAGCATCGATGCTTTCATTCCAGCAAGGAAATGCCAAGTCAAATCACCCTTTTTCTCTTTGGTTCTTACCTGCATGCTCAACCACTATAGCCCACAGGAATCACTTGTTTCGGCTATACCAGAATGACATTTCTGATTGCAACAGACGTCTTTGTCTCTGCTCATAATGAGTGCAAGTGTGTCCTTAAAGAAGCAAATTTACTGTATGCTGATAGAATGAAACAATGTATAGCATCTCACAATTTCAGTTCTAGAGATTATTGCAAGAATATGCTGAACAACATCAAACCCTCAATCCATGCTCTTTTTAATCAATTTGAAATTCTTACATCTACAGCAGATAATTTCTGAGCAAAGCATTTAACCTTATCTTCCAACTCAATACTTATTTGATGTACCCACACACGATTTCAACCCTAGAACCAAGGCTCTACTGAATAATATGTGCATAACCCCTCATTGGTTTCAGACACCATTTCTAAATTAGGCTCCCATAAGGCAAGCGATCGCTCCAGTTTTCTCCAAATTTTACAACTGTTCCCTCACTGCTTCCTGCTTTTCAGCTTGTTGGAAGTCCTCCTCTGTAATTCCTGTTTTTAAGAAATCTGGAGAATCTTCTGAACCATCTATCACTCTATTAGTCTCCTACCACTTTATAGCAAAGTATTCAATGTTTTAATAAATGATGAAGTGGTTAAGCATCTTACCTCTCATGACCTAATCTTTGACAAATAATATGGCTTCCATTTTTCCAGGCTTACTGCTGATCTACTAACAGCCATCACTGAATAAGTATATCAAGCTCTTGATAATAACAGGGTGACTCTCTAGATATCTCAAAGACATTTAACAAGGTTTGGCATGCTGGTCTTCTTACATCAGCTCCAGGCCTATGGCATTACAGGATGATTGTTTGATTTAATCAAATTGTGAAAAGACGGTCACTTTGAACAAGCTCACTTCCAGATCCTTTTACACAAACACAGGTGTCTATGCTGTTTCTGATTGTCATCAATGGTCTTCCTGATGTCCTCAGTTCCCAAGTAGGTATATATGCAAATGGCACTAGCATTTACTGTCTCAGTAGCAAATCTAGCAGTTAACCTGGCCGATGCTCTTGAAAAGGATCTCCAATCAGTGGTTATCTGGGGCAGGAAATGGATTGTAAATATTAATGCCTCCAAAACTAAACTGCTCTCATTTAACCATAATAGAGAAAATTTCTGGCCCATCACCAGCATGGTTGATGCTAGACTCCAGGAAAGGAACACATTGTGCCTTCTTTACCAACTACATCGAATCAATAGCTGCATCTACTGCAAGGAAAGTTGGGTCACTGTGCTGTGTCAAAGTTTTTCTCATCAGAGTCCATCTTGCTGATTTACAAATCCTTCATTCATCCATGAATTGAATACTGTTGCCATATCTGGTTTGATGCTCCAGCTATTTATCTCAATGTTCTTGGTAATATTCAAAGAAGGATCTGCAATGTTATTGATCTTGACTTGGCATATCGACTTCAGTTACTTTCTCACTGATGTGACATGGCTTTCCTTTGTCTTTTCTACAAATACTTTCATGGCAACTGCTCTGACAAGCTTTTTTCCTCTGGCGTCCCAATTACATGAATTCAAACGTGCTACTAGACTGCCATCTAGGCCCAACCCTTTTACTGTTGA